TTGCAGTACTTTGCCGTTCCTGACCAGTTTCCTGCGGGCCAAGTAGTCGCAGCCGCAGCATCAGCCGCCGCACCATCGCAACCGCCCATCGTCAGCCAGGGCGGCCATCAAAGCGGCGGTTGTCACGGCGGCAACAACAACAACAACCCCAACGCTCCGCCGCAGGTATCCATGGTGACCGGCAGCGGACGCAACGGCGAGGGTCTCCTCCCGGCGCCGGTACTCACCACTAGCAACGGGCTGACCGTGTACGCACACCCGCCACTGGCACCACCGCCGCCGACAACAACGACGGTTGCTATGGCACGTCGCCACGGCGACAACTCTTCCCTGCCGGGCGGCCACCAAGCCAGGACGCACGGTCCCAAGGTGGTCGACTGCAGCGCGGCGGTGTGCTGCTCGCCTCCGCTAGTGATGGCGGCGGCGTCTAGCGAAAGCTCCAGCGGAGAGCAACAACACAGTTTGCCGGGCCAGCGCCAACACCAGCACGAGCAGCAGCCCATGGTTACGCCCCGGCGACACCGCCGTGGATCGCACAGTGCCCGCGAGTCAATCTCCATGGCGACGTGTCACAAAGGCAGCAGCAGCATCACGGATATTTCGTCGTCATCTTCTCCGTCGTCGGGGTCCTCAATGTCCCCGGCGAGCATTGCGTCGCAGATGGGAGGCGAGGCGGAGGTGCCTGTGGCGATACACCACGGCGGGTGCGTCGAATCCGGAACCTCATCACTGCTACTGGACACGGTGACGAGCAGCAGCCTTGACGACACGAGCCTTGAGTCGTCGCCCCTGACGACGGCGTCCAGCGACTCGTCTCGACTGGTGTCCGACGGTGATACGCCGCCTCGGCGACGTGTGCCCATTCCGCGATCGCAGCAGCAGCAGGTGGTGGGAAAGCGTGCTTTGGCCATGCTGGCCAGTGCCATGTGATTGCCCCCGGGGATTTCCCCCGGCGTGACCTGACCGCAGTCTTCGGGGATATTCCCCCAAGGTGTGTGCCCAGGCTGCGGTCGAGTCGGGCTCAATTCCGGGAATTTCCCTCCCAGGGTGTCCTAGCCGCGGTCGGGCTCAGGGATCCGAACTTCAGCCCTAAGACTGTGTTCAACTTGAAATTGGCTACGCAACAACACGAACGTGGAATGGAAATGAATCGTCGCCGCAGGGATCTGTCATGCCACAATGAGCTGGTGTCGTGCTTGAGAAATCCTCTATTGCTTGACGCCGCCAGCCCTGGACAACGCACGGAAAGCGCGCCCGGCAAACACCAATTGTTCCATTACGCTTCTCTTCTAAGCACGTCGTCGTCGTCTTCGAGAGTTCAGGTTTTGTCAAGTCGTGGACGACTACTGTTCATGTACCTGAAATGCTGCTGCTGCTGCTCGAGCAGAACAGCATTATTATGACTAGGTCCGTAGCGTACGGTACGAGTACACAGCCTCCGGCAACCTACTCTCCGTTGAGCAGCGTACTTGTTCACCGAGATTCCTCCGGAGTTTATCACACGCATGCCGATATGTTTGCATGGTCAACATTGTTGTCGCCACCGCACATACCTCTAAGAATCCCCCGTCCCCCTCTCACTTACTCATGTTGTCATGGCGACCACATCCCATGGTTACCCGGGTGTCGCCGACGTCGATCTGCTCCTGAATTAAACTGAACTGTCTCCCCCCTCCCCTTCTCATCCGCCCGCCGCACGTGTTGGCACGGGCGCCCGTCCGTTGTTATGACAACGGCGCGGGTCCCGTAGCCGTGTAGCCTGTCCGTGTTGCGTTTGCCTCCTTCATTCTCCAGTTGGGTCCGACAGATTGAGTGGACGCTTGAAGGCGGCGGTGCTGATGATGCTGGTGTGTTGATGTGTTGCCGCCTCATTGTGCCGCCCGCTAGTTCACCACCGCCGTCGCTGGTCTGTGCACACGTTCCAACACACACACACACACAAGTATTGCACACACGCTCCTTCTCAAGTCTGAAGACTTGCACGAGGTGCACGCAGCGTCACGTATGTGTAGGTGCAGACCCAGTGACGCATGCTCTCGTTGTCTGCACGCAGTCGTTGTCTCCAATTCTCTCTCCCCCGTCTCCCTCTTTCTCACATGCATACTGTGACACACACATACATACTCACTCCCTCACTCACTCACTCCCTCACTCAATCTCTCTCTCTCTCTCTCTCTCTCTCTCTCTCTCTCTCTCTCTCTCTCTCTCTCTCTCTCTCTCTCTCTCTCACTTTCTCTCTCTCTCACTTTCTCTCTCTCTCACACACACGCTCTCTCTCTCTCTCTCACTTACTATCTCACTCACTCACACACACTCCCTCGCTCTCTCATTCCGTCTCTTCCAAACGCTCTCATTGCGTCCAGCTCTCCTCGGTGTATCCGCTGCGATCTCGTCTATGCCATTACAGGTAGCCTATGAGATCATGCCTGCCCGCGCGGTAACCTATGACATCATGCCTGCCTGCGCTCATCTGTGCATCGGCATGTTTCGTTTGGCCTGTCAGTGCCGCGATCCCCGCTGCATTCCCGCTGTCCCTCACGCCCAGACCACGCAGTTACACACCAGGCCGTCAAACCTGGATTTCTATTCCCCAACACACGTGTTCTATCCAATTGCTCCGCCGTTCTCCCAACAATTCTCGCCGTTTTCTATTGATTCTACTGAGTTCTGCCTCTGAACAGAGATTTTTTAGATTTTTAGATTTTCCCTTTTCTTACAAATTTAGATCAGATTTCGTTCCTCTCCGTTCCCATTGGACCAGCCTTTGACTTGACCGAGTTACCGAACAGCGTATGACGAATCCTTGTCCCCGAACGCTCCAACTTGACCGACTATAAACCGAGCATCTATTTCCGCTGGATTTATCTTGTGCCCCGTTCCCCCTGCACTTTCTTTGGACTTTCTTTTTCCGCCCCCCCCCCCCTCCCCAGAGTTTTATTCCCGTTTTCACGCATTAGTCTCATCCGTGCACTGCACGAGGTTGTTCCCCCCGGCCAGGCCTGCTAGCTTCATTGACCCCGGCGTGTCAACCGCCATCGTCTACAACCACCGGAGCGGGCATTGTCTTCTGGGGTCATCTACCACCGTTACCGCTGTGCACTTGTCCACTGTTAGTCCCTGTAGGCGTGTGTGGAGTGAGCTTTCTGTGCGACTTTGCTTCTCGTAGTTCCGCGAACTCCATTAGAGCATCGTCATCGGTCTGCCACTCCTTGTTTCTCCTAGCAGTCGTTAGGTATATGATTTTCTTTCTTGCTGTGTATCACGTCATATTCTCGATCTCCATGTTTGGTGGGAAGGATTCCTTCTTCGTAGTCATTCATTGCAGATTCTCACTTTGCCCTCCGAATGGGCTCTTGGAAAAGCCAACGGCACACGTCCGGCTCTCTACTGTGTGTGTGTGTGTGTGTGTGTGTGTGTGTGTGTGTGTGTGTGTGTGTACGTGTATGTGTGTGTGTGGTATGTGCAGCCGATTTCCAATCGAGAGGTTGCGGGTTCAATTCCCGACGATTATGGTCGCACACGTCTTTCTTCTCTTTCTCGGACTCTTCCTGACTTTTCTTTCATTCTCCTGGGTGGTTACCAACAGCCAGTGTATGCCGGAGTATGTGGTGTGGTGTGTGTGTGGAAAAAAAGAAAAAAATGGAAAAATGAAAAATAGGGATTCACTGGCCAGAAAAAGTCACTTCAAATAGCTGTGTGGTGGATACCAGGCTAAAAATAGTGGCGGTCAATTCATCAGCCTTGCAAGCTGTTGAATGGTGTAATCCCAGCACAAGTTGCTATGTCTAACATAGCTGTTCGCTATCATCGCTTCCGCGATGGGCATGTCTGAGGTCTGAGGTGTGTGTGTGTGTGTGTGTGTGTGTGTGTGTGTGTGTGTGTGTGTGTGTGTGTGTGTGTGAGTGTGCGTGCGTGTAATTTTGCTGATCGAACGTCACAATTGGTAGCACTCTTTCTCTTCCTCCGAGTACTCCGTGCATGATGCGCTGCACATAGCAGCGGTGACATCCCATTAGTAGTATCAGTCACACCGACGATTCCAATCGTCGACCGGCCACGATTGACACCGACACGACGTAGTTTACGTCTTTCAAACCTGGTCCACACACAAGGGAGTACTAAAACACCTGTGTTTTTAGTACTCCCTGGTTCACACTACCGATTCGTCGGCCGATCCTCCGACACCGACTCCGACATGAAATCGCCCGAAAGTTGTTGAAAACTTGTACAACAACTCCGTCCACAGTACGTACCCGGGCGATTTTCGCGCCGATCTTTTGTTCAACTCCATGTCGGCCGAAAAATCGGTGTACAGTCAGACCTCGTATAACCGCACACGTCCGTTTTCCACAAAAATATCCGGATTGGCGAGGGAACCGGATAATCGAACACACGTACTGTATGTATGCATGAATATGCTGTAAATTGGTAGCCAACGATTCTCTTCCGGATAAAAGAGGACCGGATAAGCCAGGTCTGACTTTAGTGACCTGGTGCCAGACTGCTTCTAGTGTAGCAGGCAAGAGAGTAGTGTGAACTGCTCACTCTCTCTCTCTCTCTCTCTCTCTCTCTCTCTCTCTCTCTCTCTCTCTCTCTCTCTCTCTCTCTCTCTCTCTCTCTCTCTCTCTCTCTCACTCTCTCACTCTCTCTCTCTCTCTCTCTCTCTCTCTTCTCTCTCTCTCTCTCTCTCTCTCTCTCTCTCTCTCTCTCTCTCTCTCTCTCTCTCTCTCTCTCTCTCTCTCTCTCTCTCTCTGGTTGACCGGTATAGTGATCCAGGCTTCGGTTCACTTTGGCCACCACTGTACTGTATGTAGTACACGGTCCGTATCATGATGACGAACCCTCAGGCCCGGTGGAACAGGTCCGGCAGGTCACAGGCCATGGTTGGACCAACCTTTTTTTGGCCACCTGAAGACTTGTGTGTGTATACTGCTGAAGCGGCCAGGTGTATCTAGTCGCCAAGCGGCATATCATACCGTGACAAACTGTATGAATGCCGATGGCCTGACCAGTGACCAAAAACTGCCTCCGCCAGTCCTGGTACGGCTAAGACTAGTAAGAGCGTATACGGGTAACCTCCAATTCCCCCCCCCCCCCCCCCAAGAGTGTGCAACTACAACTTTTATTCTTCTTTTTTTTCCAGGTTTTACCCAGCCTCTTATACGGGCACAATAAACACAATTACGAGTGCAACCTCAACAGCACCGGAAGAAAAACGAGCAAAAATGGCTGTGAAAACAGTCGAGAGAGCAAAAATGGCTGTGAACTTCACTACAACTTTACTGCTACACAGGGGCATACCGGTCGGTCCGGCCGAAGCACACTTTCTCGCCCAGAAGTGCCCAGGATGCAGGATTTTGCACCGTAAATTCAATTTTTTCCCCCGCGCGGGAGACTCCGGCTGTGGACCACCTCCAACAGCGATGCTACGCGGCGCCTGCTGTACTAGCACACAATGCCGTCATGATTGTAGTGGTAGTGTGTGTTTTAATGCCGTCCCAACACTAGGCATAATTATCCCAAATTGGCCGGCCGAAAAATCCGCCGAAAACAGTGGTTTTGAAGAAATCGCCGATCTTTCGTCGGATGCGCAATTTTCGAACTGAATTCGTCGAAAATCGATGTTTCAGTGCCTCAACAGCATACAAATACAAATTCTGCAGGCATTATGATGAATATCTGCAAAACGTGACTGCGGCTTTAGGCATTTCCGGAAAGGTCAGCAGGAAAAGACGCCGAAATCAACGGCTGTCAAGAAATTGCGCCGAATTTACAAATTTCGCGCTGAATGCGCCGAATATCGCTGTTTTAGTGCCTCTACAGTGGGCTAATGGGGTCTTTCTCGGCACTTGTGCCAGTGGTTGTGAGACTTATCCACTCGCCCCCACCGTTAGGCGCTGCATCTGCCGCTAAGGTTTACCGGGTGTTAGCGGCCGTCGTGAGTTCCCTTCGGGATCGGACATGATAATTTACTTTTTTTTTTTATTCACAGTATGCATGTACAAGTATATGTATTGCGAGAGGTGACTTCAACTCAGTTCAAGTACATGTACTGCTTTGAGCCGAATTCTGACTTTGGGGCTCATAACATTGCTGAAATTGGACATTCTCTTAGCCGATCGAAAAGCCGATTGGGCTAATAAATCGGGCCGATTTGGGAAATGCCTACCCCTACACACGCACGCACGCACGCACCCACACCCACACACACATGGATACACGCACGTTTTCAAGGGCATGATGCTTTGACCCTGAAGGCATGACTGAAAATCGGCATAGCAACGAAATATATCACCGCTAGATGCGGATGAAGAAAAGAATAATACAATGCAAAAATATAAAATTTGCATCAGAATCGGCAAGGGAAAGAAAGAGATCGAGAGATGGAACAGATTCACCAAATTCAGTGGGGCTGGCCAGAAGGTGCATGTAGAGCACTTTAGTTAACCGATAAGGTATGTGTGGAAAGGTTGGTCAGCTGGATGGGGGGAGGGGGAGAGGGATGCGGGGTGACATGAAGCGATGAAGGCCAGCAAGAGGCCGCACACGTAGAGGTAAGAGAAGAAACAGACGCAGGAGCGGCAGAGCAGGATGGAGAACAGCGGCGGCGGAAGGAGGGAGGGCAGTTGGCCAGGATAGTGGAGGACGCGTTGTCAAGTATGTTCTAAAAGAGTACGGGGGACTGCACTAAACTATGACATAGTATATTATAGTACGGTATAGTACGCTATTAGTACGGTATAGTACCGCTTAGTACACTTTAGTATATTCGATTAGCTGAGTACAGTTTCGTAGGAGCTGAGTACAGTTTCGTAGGGGCTGAGTACAGTTTCGTAGGGGCTGAGTACAGTTTCGTAGGGGCTGAGTACAGTTTCGTAGGAGCTGAGTACAGTTTCGTAGGAGCTGAGTACAGTTTCGTAGGGGCTGAGTACAGTTTCGTAGGGGCTGAGTACAGTTTCGTAGGGGCTGAGTACAGTTTCGTAGGGCTGGGCACGGTAGATGGTGTAGACGAGAGAGGAACCATGGCTGAGATCAGTGCAGTACTAGTGCTACTAGGCGATGGGGCTAAGACGAGACAGACGGAAGTGAGGTTGGTGGAGGGCACACAGCGCATACACAGTGGCTAGATGCATACACAACGTGTGCACACACAACGCATACACAACGTGGGCACACACAACGCATACACAACGTGGGCACACACACCGCATACACTGTGGATAGATGATGCGTACACACAGTATACACACACACAACGCCGGACGCAGTGGCTGGATGCACGCGCCGAAACGGCGCTTTAAATGATATTGTCCAGGCTCTTGCGCGCGTCGAGACGCTTGGCACGCGACCGATGGGCGGACTTGTCGCGGTTCGCCGAGGCGGCCGCGGCCAGCTGGTAGGGCGTGAGCGGCTCGTACTCCTTGTCGCCAAGTTCCGTGACGACAGCCGTCTGCTCGGCGTGGCTCTTGGAGACGGTGCGCGTGCTGGCGCATCTGCTGCGCGGCGACGACGGATTTAGTCCGCCGCTCTCGCCCTCTTCACCTCCGTCCCAGTTGAGGGCCGGCGAGGCCATGTGGGCGCTGGACGCAAAGCGGCTGCTGGAGACGGCCATGGCAATGTCGGCCTCTACGTCCACGATCTGTGCCTCCTCGCCGCCAAAGTCGAGGCTGTCGACCTGCGAGACGAGGTCGGGCTGGTAGGACTCCACTCGGCTGGCACTGGCCAGTCGTGACCGCCGGTCAAACTCGGCCGTGTTGGCATAGTTCTCGGCGAAGCCTTCGACCGCTGCCGAACCGTCTTCGCAGTCGTCGTCGTCGGGCAAGAACGACTGGATGCTGTGGGCGCTGGTGATGGGACGCATGATCTGCACACTGCCAATGCCCGACTGGCTCTTCAGCGCCTTCCTCTTCTTCTTGGAGAGGCGCTTGCTGCCGTGTGCGGTCTCGCTTGCCGAGCTGAAGTCAACGTGCTGGCCAACACTGGCCGTTCCGGGGAGCGCCATGCGAGGACGTACGCCTGGCTTGGAGGCCGTCCGCTGTCGCTCCTCCGCCTCCAAGTCCACGACGTCCAGCTCGTCGAGGCTATCCGTCGGCGAAATGAGATCGGCCTCGGACGCCTGGAAAGCGCCGGCGGTCTGGACCGAGGCCTGATTGGACGCGGCTCTGCGGGATCCGTCAGGGCTCATGCTGGCATTGAACGCGCCGGCAGCTTGCACCGAGGATTGGTTGGACACGGCTCTGCGGGATCCGTCAGGACTCATGCCGGCATTGAACGCGCCGGCAGCTTGCACCGAGGATTGGTTGGACACGGCTCTGCGGGATCCGTCAGGACTCATGCCGGCATTGAAAGCGCCAGCAGCGTGGACCGAGGATTGGATGGACGCGGCACTGCGAGGTCCGTTGACGCTCACACCGCCAGCGCTGAATGCAGCGCCGGCAGTTTGCACCGACGACTGACTGGACTTGGCTTTGCGCGATCCGTTGGTGTGCAAGCCGGCAGCACTGCTGCTGATGGCCGCCGCCTGGAAGCCGTCGATGTGATCAGTGCCACTAACAGTTCCCGGCTGGAGATCGCCGTCGTTGGCAGCGACAGCATCCTGCAGATCGTCAGCCAAGAACGACTGCGTGCTGCGAGCGCTCGTGGTGGATACCGACTTGGCCAGGCGCTTCGATCCCGGCGATCCACGCTCAACGGCGAGGCTGTCAAAGCCCTGCTGGATGAGCGACGCGTCCTGTGCCTCGCCGTCTTCAACGTCGACCAGGGTGACGCACTGCGGCTGCAGTTGACGTGCGCTGGAGCGATTGGCGCGCGACACGCTGGCGTACTGGCGTGCCGCTTGTTCGCGCTGCGTGTACGCCTCCGGTCCGTCGGCCTGGAAACCGGCATGGCTGCCCTGGTTCATGGATTGGCCGATGGTGGCGGTCTGGGTTTGGTTGGCGTGCATGCCGGCACTGTTTGCGGACGCGTTGTTTCCGATTTGGTTGAGCGCAGCAGCCTGAGTTTGATTCATGTGCATGTTGGCATAGTTACTGGACGAAACCTGCACACCTTCGCTGCCAGCAGCCTGCACATCGTCCACCAAGAACGACTGCGCGCTCTGAGCGCTGGCGGTGGAAATCGACTTTGCCAGTCGCTTCGATCCGGCCGCCGCCCCTCGCCCCACGGCCAAGCTGTCGAAGCCCTCCTGGATGAGAGACCCATCCTGCGACTCGTCCTCAACGTCGACCAGGGTGACGCCGTGCGATTGCACTGGGCGGGCGCTGGAGCGATTGCCTCGCGACACGCTGGCGTACGGCTGTTTGTGAGCCAGTGGCTGTTGCGTGTGGTCCTGGTGTGTCTGCGGCTGTTCCTCCTGCGCCTGCTGACGGGGAACGGGTGAATACTGTTGGGCCATCTGCTGCTTGGACGACTGCTGTTGGATGTTGGAATACTGCTGAGCACCATTCGCCTGGCCATGCATCTGCTGCTGTTGCTGATGGGCTTCCAGCGTGGAGTATGTAGGCTGTTCCTGCTGTTGGTTGGCGAGAATGAAGTGGGCGTCCACCGGCGCGTATGGCGAGCTCTCTCCGAGTGCCGCAAAGGATGCTTGCGGGTCTCCGGACCCGGCGGCGTGGACGGCAGAATAGTCGCCGGAGTTGCTGGCAGCGCTGGTGGTTGCCGTGACGATTTGATCCGTGTCAATGTCCTCGGCGCGGATCGAGACGTCCTCCGTGGCACTGTTCTGCTCCTCAAAGTTAAAGTCGCTCTCCTCGAAGCGGAACTTGCCCTTTACGGAGCCCTTGCCGCTTTTCAAGCTGGCCTGTTCATTAATCCCGTACCAAGACCTGTGCAGATCACAAGGAGGAGCACAGTAGAGAACGGAGAGACGAACAAGATGAAATGAATCTCGTGATTCATCCCCCCCCCCCCGTTACAGTATTTTCCGGAGTACACTCATGCCTCGTTTATCCGGGCGGTCCAGGACCGAGCACTACCCGTAACTTCGAAATGTCCGTAACTC